TTGGTTGTTTCTTATTCCTACACCCACTCCTCTTGTCCCCTAAGTGAAAACTGGTCCAGAGGATACTGAATGACTCTTGAAAGACTTAGAAAAATAAATCTTGAAAAAACCACTTTGGAACAGAAATGTGTTTCCCACACGTGGAAGCCAATGGAAAGGTAGGAAATATTCCCTAATATTGGTAATTAGCACCATGAAGATTCCTGTCTTGCCTTTTCTCCTCTTGCTTTTATGAGGAGCAAGAGGAGCATGAAATAGAAAAACTTAGAAGAGAGGAAATCTACTTAACATGTAATTGTTTTAGATACATCACCAAAGAAGATGTTGCTGTAGCCTCATTGGACAAGGTGAAGAAGGATGGGGGCCATGTCCGTCTCATCACAAAGGAGTCCGGGCCACAGGAACTTCCTACACAGTAAGGTTTCATTTATGAGGAGGACCGTAGTACTATGTGTTCTGCTTTAGAGTTCTGTATTCATATTTGTGATCATGCTTGACCTTGATGTGGCCACTTACAGGTTAGAAAGAGCTTTCACGGTATGGTAGCTCCTCCATCCTCCTAGTAACCCTGTGAGGAGTAGGATGTCCTCACCTTAGACATCAGAAGGACCCTGAGACCAGGTAGACCAAGTGACCCACCCAAAGACACTAGATGTTCCCAGGCATGAGCTCTTTCTATCACAAGAAGCTTTTTCTTTTAACACTTCTAACAGCCACGGAAAATAGGCAAGCAGTTGTGGTAATTCCATGTAGGACCTTTCAACATAATTGAGGAATGTGCCTTTTCCTTTTAACAAATTGAGTGCATGTCCTGTCATGTTTCATTTCTCATTTTAATTCAGTCAAATCTGGATTTACCTGTAGAGGCACATACTTAGCAAGTCTTCCATTCCAATTCCTAAAAACACTGTTAGCACCTTGGCTCTGTCACTCTGTGGGTGTGACTGTCTGCTGTAGGCCAGCAGGGGCTGCCACAGGGTGTCATGGAAGCCTTAGTAGATACCTCTGTCCTCCTGCAGTGTGTGGTCCAACACACGCAGAGCATAGGAGCCCCAGCTTCGGGTGGGGTTTCACATTAGTCTGTCCTTTCTCAGCCTAAAAAAGAATTTTCTAACTTCTCATTTGCCAGCTTCCCCAGGTATTTCCAAGTCTGATTGTTTAACTTGAAGATATCTAAATTCCCAAGAAAGGCAGCATATTTGTATTCAAATGAATTTTGTAACACCCCCATTCTTTCCTTTATTTGGCATGGAGCATCAAGTGCTGACTCTCTCTTGTTTCCGGAGCATCGAGTGCTGAGTCTCTGTTGTTTCCACACTGAATCGCAGAATCTGTGGGTCCTGCATTTACTGTTTATCAGTACAGAACCTTTGAAGACCATTCATTATTTGAAGTAGTGATTCTTTGGTATTAAGTGCTCATTAGTTACTTATTGCATGTTTTGCTCAATTCTAGAAAGTTCCTTGATGATGGAGTATGTGTCCCATTTCTAAATCCCTGCGTAGCCCAAGCTGTTCTCACTGGGAAGCCTTCTATATCCAAAGGCTATGTGCAAGCTGTGGATAATGAAGGAAATCCACTTTGCCTTCGCTGTCAGCAACCCACTTGCCAAACTAAGCAAGAGTGTAGAGTGAACGCTTGGGATTCACGGTTTTGCTCTCTGAAATGTCAGGAAGAGTTTTGGATTCGATCTAATAACAATTACCTGCGAGCCAAAGTATTTGAAATTGAACATGGTGTGTGTCAGCTATGTAATCTGAATGCACAAGAACTCTTTTTACGTCTGAGAGATGCCCCCAAAAGCCAGAGGAAGAATCTTCTGGATATTACCTGGATCTCAAAGCTCCCACTGGAACAGGTAAATTATAATTATGTGACAGAAGTCTGCATTGTACTGAGTGATGAATACTGACTCAACTTTAACTTTTTAATATGGCAATTCTTGAAATATACATACAAAAATAGAAAAATCAACCCACAGACCCAGCACCGAACTTGAACAGTTATCAGCATTTTGCCTTCATTTTCATTTGTCCCTCACCTCAGTCGTTTTTTTCTCCTGGGATTATTTTAAAGCAAATTCCAGACAACATTTTTTTTTTTTTTTAAATAATCTCTACATCCATTGTGGCACTTGAACTCAAGATCCTGAGATCGAGTTGTATGCTCTACCAACTGAGCCATCCAGGTGCCCCTCATTTCCTCTTTAAATACTTCCATTATGTACCTCTCACAGAGACTTCCTTCCACCCTCCTTCCTTTTTTCTCTTTTTAAAATATAATCCTGTACCCATTATCATACCCAAAATAATTATCATTACTTAGTAACTCCAGGCTTGGTTTCCCAGATTGTCTCAAAATATCTTTTTGCAGTTACTTTGTTCAAATTAGGATCACAATATGATCCACACACTGCATTTCTTCATTATATTTCTTATGTTCCAATTAATCTATAATATCACCCCATTCCTTTTTTTATACCATTGACTATTCAAGAAACTGAATCATTTGCCTGTAGGATTTCCTACATTATGGATTTGTCTTCCTGTATCCTCATGGTATTATTTGACATGTTTCCCTATCCCCCTGATTCCGGAATAATAGTTATAAGATATAGTGGCTTAATTAGATTCTGATTAAATTATTTTGGGAAGAGAGCTTAACAGATGATACATTCCATCAAGAAGTACCTATGGTCTGGTTGTTCCACTTTTCATGATGTTAGTATTGAATGACAAGAGGAAGATAACCCCCAAAATATAATTACAATGAGAAGAAAATATTTATGTTCATCCCACTGTAAAATGTAATTCTGGCAGAGCAATCTATGGAAAAAATATTACACTTAGAAAACAATAACCAGTTTTCACTTTTATTTCCAAAATTCAACTGGTTTCTAATGTTGTGATCTAATCGGTTCTAAGTTCCAAACTAGAGAAAAATGTTTAATTTTAAAAGTCACTCCTGAGCCATTCTCTCCCCACTAAAGTAATGGATAAGTTTCTGCCAGTTGGTCAAATCAGACATTTTTATTTGCCTAGTATCACCAAATTATGACAGAATTAATTAATTAAACATCTCTACAAAGATGAATTAGCATGACTTTGAGAGCTAGGGAAATACACAATTTCCTTCATGATACCCAGAGTTCCCGAAATATCCTTTAGTCTAATTGGTGAGGGACACACGCACCCATCCCAGGGGTGTCAGCCACACGGCAGTAACTGTCTGCTGCCTCAGAGCAGTCTTCCAGAAGACACACAATGAAAGGACACAAGGACATTCTGAAAGCAGCCTGTCCAGGAACAGAAGTTATTACATAGTATACTATTAAAAGTGTTCCAAGGCTAGAGAGCACCATAGGGCTCATATTGGGGAGGACCACTCCAGAGAGGGAGTGGTTGTTTTAAGAGTTAAATTTAGGATGCTGAAGACTGACCCCATGTGACTGGGAACTACTAGAAGGAATAGAGAAGTACCTCTGGATTAGAGAGTCCACCCGAGGAGAGACTGTCGTGAGCAAAAAAAAAAAAAAAAAAGATTACAAAAAGCAGACAAAATGGATATTCTTTCCTAAGAACGCGTCATTTGCTTGACGCACAAGATGGCCATCTGTAACTGCTTCTAACAAGACCGGCCTCAGCTGGACAGAGTTCACTGCTCTACCCTGCTGCCTCTTGGGGCTCCTCTCGGGCTGGGCACTGCTGGTTAGGTCCCTCTGCCTCCACGTGTCTGACAAAGTGTGTTAGAACCATGACACAGGTTCCCCTGGCCAGCAGCATGCAGCGATTTTAATTTCAGCCTTGGCCAAGATCATGCAAATACAAACAAGCTTCATGCTCATCTTTATCATATTGAAAAAACTACAATGCTGAGCAGGATTTACTCTCTCGAGCAGGATGTTAAAATACATCCCAGGGGCGCCTGGGTGGCTCAGTGGTTTGGGCCGCTGCCTTCGGCTCGGGTCGTGATCTCGGGGTCCTGGGATCGGGTCCTGCGTCGGGCTCTCTGCTCGGCAGGGAGCCTGCTTCCCTCCCTCTCTCTGCCTGCCTCTCTGTCTACTTGTGATCTCTCTCTGTCAAATAAATAAATAAAATCTTTGAAAAAAAAATAAAATAAAATACATCCCATTTTAATGTAGGTCATCAAGGATAAAACATGAAGTGCATATATGTGAGCTGGCCTAAATAGTGCTGCTTTACGTGGACAACTTTGTCTATTCTAGATAGGCCAGTGAGAGAGATCTGTTGTGGAAACTTCGTTCCAGTCCATGGAACTGGGGAGGTTCCCAGATGAATGGCAGAAAGGTTCCGGGTGACAGCTGTTAAACTTTCACTGTTTATAATAACAAATGACTTTAGGTGAATAATTAAAGATTATTTGACTCAGTAATATTCAGAAGTTTTTTAAATTTCTAATCTGATCTCATTCTTGTCACAGTTTTCTTTACTGACTATCTAAACTAGCTCAAAGGTGCAGAAGCAAGTAATTTTTCCCCATCTGTCAGGAGTCTTGGTACTTTATACTTGCTTGTAATTTTTTCAAAATGGGTTAGGTAAGGGAAAAAGAACTTTTTCCAGAAACATATTTTATTGCTTTCAAATTGCTAACCTAGAGGCTTTTTCCTATTCACAATAAAAGCTATAAAAAGCCATCCTAATGTATTGTTTGCTGTGATTTTGCTGTATAAACATGATTGCACAAGGCAAAACCACCAGTTCCCACAGCGTATGTTGAAAAGTGCTGATCTTGTGTTCTAACTGCAGCTTAATGAAATGATAAGAAGCCCAGGAGAAGGGCATTTCTGGCAGGTGGACCACATCAAGCCCGTGTCTGGTGGAGGAGGACAGTGCTCCCTGGACAACCTGCAGACACTGTGCACAGTGTGTCACAGGGAGGTGAGTGACACTATGCAGACTCATGTGGCTTCATCCTGGGACAGCAAAGAAAAGTGTGTACACAGGCGTAGGAGGCTGAGTGGATGAAGCCGTATCCCTTGTCTGGGTTCCGAGATGGCTTTATTCCCTTCATCACCTGAGTTTCCTCTCAAGGCTGATAGGAGTTCCCAGTCCCAGACAGAAGAGAAGCTGCTTTCCTTTGAATTCATTCTAGGACAGGAAATTGTCACCACCGCCTAGAAGAAAATGAATGTAACTTACATGGTGTGGAAGTGACCCAGACCATCAACCCAGCAGACTGGTGAACTGAGGCAGTGATGTGTGTTGACGCTTGCAGCTAAGGCTATCTTGACATGTCAGAGAACATTCATAAATTCTTTCCAGGGCCCCTCCTTCAGTTCAACACGCAGACATTACACTCTTGGCCAAAGTGCAAAACTTATTAACCTTGGCACCTTTTTGAGCTATTACCTGTTGCTTAAAACCGCAGGGGGAAATATTTACCAACAGTATTATTTACCAACTATTATTTACCAAGTAGCATGGATTTTTAACAGGCCATCTAGCAAAAGGATCTGCTGATTAAAGTTTTCTTAGAAAGAAGCATACATTCAATACACACTTTGTATCTAACTGTTTTTCTAATTGTGACAGGATTTAAGCATTTTCCCATGTTCCCATAATAAGCATTTATGTTTATCATCAAAAATGGCTACACATTATTCTATTGAGTATATGTCTGCTATAATTTATTTAGCCATTCCCAGACTGATTAACATTGAAGTGGTTTATATCTCCTGTTTACACACTGTTCTTTCTGTTTTGAGGTTGTTCCTTTAGATTCTCACATGTAAAACCACGGAATGAAGGGTTTGACCATAGGAATTTAACTCCAAGCAGTTTCCCAAAGGACTGTGTTCTCCTCCTGTCTCCCGACCCTGTTGGGGGACGAGAGTGCCCATTGAACTGAGCGAGCTCATCAGTGCTCATGTGAGGGCAGAAGAAGGGCCTGCCACTATTTTGTTTACCAAAGATACTGAGGGTTCTAAAAATGCTAATCAGTGGTATTGACATTTCGAAAACTGTTCAGATCCTTTGCCATTGTTCATACTGTATAAGCACTTTTAGCCTTATTTTAATATTTTAGGTTCCTCAGTTTCTTCACAAATACAATTCTTACATAAAATGGATCTTTTAAGTAGGGTTTTTTGCTTTTAGTTTTAACCCTCTTCTCTCTCCCCACACCTGCCACCTGGATAACTTCACATACCTGAACTTCAACTGGGAAAAAAGTCATCTGATTTCTCAGCCATGAAAATTATTGGCACATGCAAGACCTATTAAGAGAATTACTATGTAGCAAAAAGAAAACCCACCCCTTCTGTAATCATTTTTAGATTCTCATGAGAAATTTTATTTGTGGAAATAGCAGAAGAATCCGGTTTTGATTTACCTCACTTTGTTTTTCTGCATTGGCTTGGGAGTGGCTTCTGAGCCCCCAGAATGGGAAGCCAGTAGGCCTTACATGCACCACACTGGGAGAAATCACAACGCCTTATGTACGCCCTTACTTAGATGAGAATCAGGGCCTCCTGCAGTCTTCAAATGAGGGATTCACAGTCTCACTGGGGAGTAAGTCATTCTCCAAAGCATCTGGTCCTAAGTGAACCTAGGACCCTGGGGCATTTACTAGAGCTATTGGGGTCCTCTTCTTGTGGCGTGGTGTGCCATCTGAGGGCAAAGCACTGGAACTGGGCATGGTGATAATGTAGATTTTTCCAGACTAATGAAATAAAGTTTTTGAGATTCCAAAACCAGTACTCTCTTCCTAACAGGTGTACCATTTATATTTTTTAACTTTTAGAGAACTGCCAGACAAGCTAAGGAGAGAAGCCAGGGGAGAAGACAATCTCTAGCATCAAAGCATGGATCAGACATCACGAGATTTTTGGTGAAGAAGTGAAGTATAAAAATTGTTGAATGGATGACAAATGGTTTACATGTGGAGGAACCGAACACATTTTTTTCATGTTTCTCATATGAAGAGTGAACATTTTTAGAGCAAAAAATCAAGAATTCAACTTTCCCTTTCATATTATATGCTTTTAGTGTCCAATACCTTTTGAAAGTTCTTAACACAAACTGAGATACAATACTAAATATTTCTGTGATCTTCATGATTTTAGGCAGGCTCTCAATTATGTTTCAGTAAGGTTTTGTTGAGCTTTCATTTCCCCCTGCAGTACCTTAATCATGGTATTATGCATAGATTGTATTTGAAAAATATACTCTCAATTACTTGGAAAATGCTGCTGGATTAGTATTAGTTATGAACTGCTGCGTGTAGATTCAGAACACTGGAAAACTGCAAGGGAAATTTCGGAGGCAAATCATCCAGGAATTCGGGGGCAAGCATGAGCACCCTGGTTTGTATGCGAGAGAGACTCTTACTCACTGACTGCCTCCAAAATGGGCTTTGAGCACACATTTTGAGTGTTGCCCTATTTGTTTTATTTCTTAGCAGATTGTCTTTATTGAAAAGATGCTTCTGAAAATAAGCTAATTGGACCTACAGTGTTGGTAGATAATTCGGTGTTCTAGATTTGTTAAACCTAGTGATTGTTAAAACTGTTTAAAAACTGAAAACATAGAATGTCACTTGAACTTCATTTGTCAGTTAATTTTAATGCATAAAACTACGTTCAATGTCCAAGTGCCCTTTATCTCCTGGCTATCACTTTGTTTTTAAAATCCCAGTCTTATTAAAAGTGTACCTCTTTTAAAAAGAGTGAGGACGATAAAACACTTTATACTAAAGCATGAGCAGATGGAAATATAGGTTTCAGAAAGACAGTGGTAATACTAATGTATCATTGATACTCAAAAATAAAAGCATGACAATAAAACAAAACCAGGGTACAAGTCCTGCAAAATATCGAAGTCATGCGAGGTAAGGTAGAACTACACAAAATACAGGCCCAAGGAAGAATTACGTTCATGAAAGTCCTGTTTGTAAATACTGTTTGGATGTGAATTTCATTTATTTATTTGAGCACTTTACAGTCTTCATTAGTTGCTGATGTTTTACAATGTAGAGGACTTGTTTTTAAAGAAAGATTATTCAATCATGAATTATCCTTTTAGAGTTCTTAAGGTTTATAACTTCTATTGTATGAGAGCAAATAGTGGTGTTTATTTTATAAATTAGGTCGGGCTTGCTTTCTCCTCCTTTCTGCTTTGCTGGTCAGGCTCTTTGCAGTTTTCTGCCTCATTGCCAGGGTAGCCTAGGATTCCTCACAGCTGAGAGCTGAGAAACCGGCTGAGAGCTGAGAAACCAGCAGGCTGTTTTTCCTCCAGCATGGGGTGCTTGCAAGTGAGACTTAGGTCTAAGTAGGTCAGGTATCAGTGGAAGTTACCTCTTTATTTTTTTTTTAAGATTTTATTTATTTATTTGACATAGATCACAAGTAGGCAGAGAGGCAGTCAGAGAGAGGGGGAAGCAGGCTCCCTGCCAAGCAGAAAGCCTGATGCGGGGCTTGATCCCAGGACCCTGAGACCATGACCTGAGCTGAAGGCTGAGGTTTAACCCACTGAACCACCCAGGCGCCCCAAGAAGTTACCTCTTTAGATTAAACTAAGGTGGCAGTTCTAGTAACAGTGTTCTCAGATGTAATAAATGAATGATGGTTTAAGATGAAATGACCCATGTGCCAATTTTAAAATACTAACCAAATAAAAATGCCATAAAAGCATCAAAAAGAATAAAATACTCAGGAATACATTTAACTAAGGAGGTAAAAGATATGTACACTGAAACTACCAAACTTTAATGAAAAAAAAAAAAAACTGAAAAGACACAAATGGAAAGATACTCCATATTCATGGGTGGGAAAAATTTATATTATGAGAAAGTCCTTACTACCCAAAGAAATCTATAGATGCAGTGTAATCCCTATTAATATTCCAGCAGCATCTTTCATAGAAATAGAAAAAAAATTTTCTTTAAAATTTGTTTGGAACCACAAAACTAAAAATAGCAAAGCAATCTTGAGAAAAAAGAACAAAGTTGGAGGAATCAGGCTTCCAGATTCCAACTATATTACAAAGCTGTAGTAATCAAAACATTATGGTATTGCTATAAAAACAAATCCATAGATCAATAGAAGAGCATAGAGGGCCCAAAAATAAAACTATGTCAACTGATCTTTTTTTTTTAAAGATTTATTTTAGAGACACAGTACAAGGGGAAGGGCAGAGAGACAGAATCCTCAAGCAGACTCCCTGCTGATCGTGAAGCCCAATACCAGGCTGGATCTCACAAACCTGAGCCAAAACCAAGAGCCTGCCACTTAACCAACTGAAGCACCCAGGTGAGGTGCGTCCCTCTCCCACCTTATTAAATTTATTTTAGAGTCAACTGATTTTCACAAATGAGCCAAGAATATAAAATTGAAAAAGGATAGTCTCCTTAATAAATGGTGATGGGAAAACTGGACCCCCTACTTTATACCATGTACACAAATCAATTCAAAATTGATTAAAGACTTGAATATAAGACCTGAAACAATAAAACTCCTCAAAGGAAAAAGGGAAGATTTAGGTCTGAGATGGTGCTAGGAAGACCTTTAGCTTACCTCCTTCCACAGACATACCAAATCTATACCAACATCTAGAGCAGCTTCCCCTCAAGAAGAACTGAGGACTGATTGAACAGCTTCTGTACAACAAGATAGAGAGTCCACACAGAGAACAGCAGGAGAAACAGAGACACAGTAACAACAGGAAACCCAACCCTGATGTAAGTTCTTTTTTTTTTAAGATTTTTTATTTATTTATTTGACAGAGAGGGATCACAAGTAGGCAGAGAGGCAGGCAGAGAGAGAGAGAGAGGAGGAAGCAGGCTCCCCCCCGAGCAGAAAGCCTGATGCGGGGCTCGATCCCAGGACCCCGGGATCATGACCTGAGCCGAAGGCAGAGGCTTTAACCCACTGAGCCACCCAGGTGCCCCCCCAACCCTGATGTAAACTGCAGCAGGAAGAGATAGCACAGAGGTACCCGTGCACAGATTCACCCATGCTGGGGCATGGAAAAGGAGCAGCAGTTCAAAAGGCAACTAGACTAACTGACTAAGACTAACTAACTAGGCAACTGAACTAACCCTAGGCCATTCAACAAACAGTGAAGGAACTGCTAGAACTTCCGCCGGACTCATGTGCTAGTGATTACCACTGTTTAC